GAAATCAGTGTGAAGACTCCTTAGAAAACTAGGGTTAGAGATGCCATTCAACCCAGCAATTCTCCTTCCAGGTATTTTTCCCAAAAAATTGAAAACATCATACCACACCAATATATGTGCACCCCTGTTTATAGCAGCGCAATTTGTGATAGTTAAATTTTGGAAACAACCCAAATCCCATCAAGTGAGGAATGGATAAAAAAGATGTGGTATTTTTACACAATGGAGTATTACTCAGCTATGAAAAAAGATACACTAGAGGTTTTATAGGTAAAAGGATGCAACTAGAGACCATACTCATAAATGAAACAAATCAGACCCACATGTGTAAATATTGTGTTGTCTCCCTAGCATAAGAAACTGAGCGAGTAAATAAAATCTGAAAAGTACAATGAATATTGTGAAAGGGAAAGAAACTGCTCAAAAGGAAAGAATGGCTGGGATGAGGGAAGGGAGAGAGGAAGGAAAGAAGGGAATATATATATATATATATATATATATATATATGCACAGGAGAGCTGGGATCGTTGTACTACCAGTTTCTGTTGGTTTATTGAGAGGAGCAGTTAATGTTTACTTGCTGATCAGTCCTGCATACCTGTATCTGTTAATCTCTTACATGCCTGTATCTGTTAATCTGAGCAACTACTTTGAAGATAAAAACATGTAATACAACAACCATTGTTAATTTCCTATCATCTTATTTTGAAATTCTGTATCATTTTTATTGTTTTTGTGTTGTTTTTTGTCTTTGTGTTACCTTGTTTCTGTTTTTGCCCTTTAAAGAAAATTTTTTAATGTAAAAGAAAAAAGAGAGCCTTCTCCAGACCCACGAGGACCATTTGCTTAGTGGTTCTGGAGCCTGAGCTAGAACACAGGCTGCTGTCCTTCACGTAAAAGAAGAGAATGAGCACCCAAGGCACTTCACCAACAACCTTATCGCAAATTTTTCTTCCTTATTATGGTTTTTAAGTAACCTGGTAAATGCAGCTCTTGTTTCCATTCTCCAAGAATTTAATAGATTAAATTTTCCAATCTATATTCCATGTGCCATGCCATGACAAATAGCAAAATTATGTTATATATTTATGTACAAATAAGTACCTAATATATTCATTCTAACCCAATTCCATTCATTGCATAAGTGGTCAGTTTAGGAGGCTGAACTAAAATCCCATAAGTTCAGGGAATCTAAAATGCATTCCTTAAATTTCTAGCTTCAGATTTTTGACTGAATTACAGAAACATGCAATATAGGATCATTTTATCAATTGTAAGATAATCAATATTAATGGTTTCATAAGTCAACATCATCACTATCATCATCATCAAATAAGGCAAAGATCACCTGCATGCCTAGTTGGTAAATATCGTACATGTTATTATTGCAGTAAATAGTGGGTTCCTTCACAGATATGCCTTGTGGGATACACCTTTGGAAGAGATTTTGAAGTTTTAAAGTTTATTTAGGGTTTAAAAGTATTTTCCTCCCTTCTCATATCATTGTGGTGGATTTAAAATTTTGTCTGGGGATTTGTTTACTCTTAGTTTTGGCTCTGTCTCTCTCCCCTATATCATCGTAGCAACTACACAGTGCTTTATAGATAAATCTTTAGTTACCTACGGAATGTATTTATTTGTCATTAATCACTATCTCCTTCTGATTCTGCCCTGAAAATAAAATATGCCCTTCAACAGTTTTATTAAGCATATTACTACACTAACTTACCATAACATCAATCCACCAAAAAACAGGAGTTTTAGGCTAATAAACACTATAATGATGAACCTGATAATCTGGATGACAGGAGGTGGACTAGAATGTGCTAACGGACTTGGGAGAATCCATACACACGTGGCAGTCAGAATTTTCACATTTCACAGTCCACTGTGTCAGGCACACTGCAGATTATTTAAATTCAATCCCTTGTAGTTGCTGGTTGGAGTGGCATTTCTTTCTACTTGAAGTGGCGTCTTCAGCTCCCTCCTGCCTCTTGTGATTAACTGAGACAGAGCCAGAGGAAAGAGTTCTGTGAGTTCCCCAGCACTCAGACCCAGCCTGGGGCTGCTCCAGCTCAGCAGGGAGTGTGCTGGAGAAGGCAGCCCGACACCTAACTCCTCCAGAAATACATGCTCTCAGGAGCGTCTCATGCACCTGGCTCTCAAGGCAAAATGAGATTAGTCTTAAAACTTTGGATTAACTCCTAGAAGCCAGTAGTTAATTCAAGCTAGATCCCCTTGCTGTCTTGCCCTTAACAGATGTTAATAGGCAACTTTAGAGACCTGAAAAATCACCAGTAGTTAAAGTGTTGGGAGACTATAAGGACATTATAATTAACAGAAATAGCAGGATGGCAAATCCTAGGTTTCCTGAGAAACTTCCTCCCAAAAGGAAAAGTCCTCAACATTGTGGTAACACTGTAGAAATGGAGGCATGCTGGTGCCCCTATTTCCAATGCTGCCTGCCACAAAGAGTTCCTACTGAGAAAGCCCCCACCCAGAGGGTGTAAAACTTCAGGTTAAATTCCAAGTTTTCTCAAACACTTTTTAGTTATAGGAACTATTTTGTGTTCAGCTTGTTCTCCCTAGCAAGCACCACTACCGTCACCTTTACCATTCTCTTATCATCGTTACCGCTGCCACCATCGTCCCTATCACCCTCTCCACCATCACCGTCACATGACACTTTCACCTCCATCCTCACTGTAATCATCGTGACCATCATCGTAGTCATCATTATCCTAAGCAGCAACAGCACCATCCCCTTTGTGACCAGTATCACCATCCTGCTCACCAGTGCCACCATGGACATCTGGTCAGTCATCACTGTCATCACCACCATGTTCATCTGGCTTCCAGTACCACTTTGAGTTGCAGAGCAGAGATTCTCACTCCTCCTTGGGGGGCAGGGCTGGGCATCCATTTCTTGTACCCTGTCCAGGTTGCATCTCTGTCTCTGACTGTCCCTTCATAGATGACTCACAGAGAAGTCCAAATTGGATCTCATAAAGTATTTAGTTGGTTGCAGAGTACAAAAAATATCTGTCTGAAACCTTCCAAACATTTGTTTTTCTGAGGAGTACAGCAATCTTTCTTCCCAAAATATAGCCCTTAGATACTTCAGCTCTTAGAATCAGGAAGAAAGTACAGTGGAAATTTTTCTGCTATCTATAGGAGAAAGTTCCCATAAAGACTCAAATGTCTGCTGCTGAGCCCTTCAATGAGAATAAATGAGGGGAGACTCCATGTATACAACTTCTAAAGCTTAAATACAAACCTTTTTAAAAATGTTTACAGGTGACTCCATAGCACACTGGATAGCACATTGGACTCCTAAAAATGTTTACTATTCATTCATGTTTATATATTTAAATGATAAGGTCATTATGCTTTTTATGGATAATTTATATGCAAAACAGTTAACCATTTCTCTAATATGTTATAATCCAAAATTCATTTATAAAAATTTTTTAAAGAAAGTAAAAACAAATTCAAATTTACTCTTCTTCATACTACTCCAAGTAAGTGTGGCATGCATGGTATGGCATACATGGGTAGATATGTGTGTACAGTGCTCTGAGGGAAAGAAGGACAACCCAGGGCACATGCAGAATGAGTAAAGACTCTTAATCTCATAATTTCTGGGCCTAGGAAAGTGCCTGCCTCGGGGCTGGGGATTTAGCTCAGCAGCACAGCACCTGCCTGGCAAGCACAAGGTCGTGAGTTCGATTCCCCGTACCAGGAAAAAAAAAAAAGGAAAGTGCCTGCCTCATATAGGCCCTCAGTAATGGGAAGAACTTGGGAAGAGCTGAAGGACTCCAAGCTGTATCAGCACTTTCACGTGTGCTGTCTCATCAACTCCTCAAGGCCTAGCAGGCAAGTGCTGTTACTACCACTCTTTTATTAAGAGGAAGAAACCACTTCACACTGAGTTTAAGTAACTTTCCAAGGTTGCACAGCTAGTAAATAATAGGACCAAGATTCAGATCTATACCACCATGCGCAGCAAATCCTACCCACCACCTCTTTCTTCATGGCCCTAAAGCTAGACATGAATGGTTTTACAATTTGTAAATGCAGAAAAAATGAAAAGAATAGCATAGTCATCCCTCAGTATCCACTAGGGTTTGATTCCAGGACCCTCTGTGGATACCAAGCCCACAGACGCTCAAGTCACATAAAACGGTGTAATGTTTGTTTATAACCTATGCATATCTTCCTATATGCTCTCACTCACCTCTAGATTACTTATAATACCTAGTATAATGTAAATATCATGTAAGTAGCTGTTATATGAGGTCTTTAAATTTTTAAAATTTATTACAATAAAAAACACATTGCAATTAATCTCCCTCAAAGTACTAAAAATTCCCCTTCTTCAAACACCTTTGTCCCACCATTCTTGTTGATGTGTTTTTCCTGTAATAAGTTCATTTAATGTAAACATCACCTTATTTTTCAATAGCCACCTGCATGTATTGTTCAGAGAAAACAGAAATAATTTTTTTCTAAATATGTTTGACCCTTGACTGGTGAATCCACAAGTGCAGAACTCATGGGTAGGGAGGGCAGACTATTTCATGACATGTGAAATTATATATGTAAATGCTGAAATGTGCATCCGTAAATTAAGGGCTAGGGGAACACAGTCAGGCCTATCATCAGTGCATCCCCGGTCGTTTTTGCAGGGCAGTGGCAGCATTGGGTGGTGGCGACAGAAACTGTCCGGCACACTTACTTTCAGAGATGCTACTTCTGTGAGCTTCCCAGGACAGGGGCACACACGGGCTGAGTGGCACTCCTGTAGTGCTCAGCTCTTAACCCTGACACTGCTGAAGCTAAGGAAATTCCCCAGTCTGCATTTCTTTCCATCCCCCGAGACCTTAGACGCCGTCTCAGTCTTGTTTCCCTCCTCGTTTCCCACTTCTCAAGCCCGTGGGCCCTTCCTGTCCCTGGACCAGCGTCCCTGCCACCTCTCACGGCCACCTCTTACTCCCCAGTGAGCAGCAGCAAGCACCTCGTCAGGAAGTTCCGAGGGCACCTGCGCACCAAGATCGAGTCTGGGGAAGGCACGGTTCCGGTACGGGGGCCCAGCACAGTCCAGACGTGGGACGGCATCCTGCTGGGGGAGCAGCTGGTCACCATGTCCTGCACAGACAAGATTGCCAGGTAAGAACCCACTTAGCTGTCCTCTTCAAATCCTACAGCAGGTTCGGTTCAACGCACATCTCAGCCGTGAGAAAAGTCAAAGAAACGCAGCATATCTTGTTAAGGGCCCGTGTGACAAGGCACGCACCTCCCTCCACCAGTCCTTCCACCTGCTGGAAGCAAAAACGCCCTAAAAGTTGGCATGGTGCTGCAGGCCTGTAATCCCAGCACTTTGGGAGGCTGAGCAAAAAGATCACAAGTTCAAATCTAGCCCAGGCAATTTAGAGAGACCCCATCTCAAAATTCAAATTCTTTTCAAAAATGGGCTGGGGATATAGCTCAGTAGAAAGGCCCTGGGTTTGATCCCCACTACAACAAAAAAGTAAGTGTCTGCAGAGAGCAAATACCTAGCAATTTCATGTTGCTACTGCAAACAAACAAAATCTATGGCTTGAACCCGCTGTCCTTGAATGGTCTGATCACTGTCCAGACTGACCACAGAATTAACTGAGAGGCAAAGGGCCTCTCCCCCGCCGGGCCTCTCACTTTGCTCTGAAGCGTGGCAGTCACGTACGGAAAGACACTGAACTTTAGCTGGCCATGATATCTCTCCCTTGCTATGGTAAAGATGTTTTCCTTTTAGAAGTTCTCAAAAGCTTCCATATGCTGGTCTGAGGAAGGGAAGCCTCAACCCAGCCCCTGGGTGAGCAGGAAGAGGGGCACTTTGCACAGGGGGTATCCCAGCCCCTCACAGAGCTCCTGCTAGTCAGTGAACAGCCCCAAGAATGGCATGCACCCCCTGCCATCCCTGCCTCATTCTGATGCCCTAGATCAGCTCCCTCTACCCCCATCCTCCGTGCTGATGCCCCAAAGATGTTGTCCCCATTTTAGGAACATTTCCATAAATGCAGTTTGGAAAATAATCATAAGGCACACTTTGAGGTATGGGGCACAGAAGCGTGAGTTTGCCTGAAAAAACCCATGAAGTCCCCAAAGCCATGCAATAATGAGAAAGATAAAGTGGTCATAGAAATCCTGGGTTAGGAGTGAATCAGATCTCTTAGAAACTGTTAAGTGTTAGATTCCATAGTTGATAGCCCAAGTAAAAACAGAGTATTCTACTCTATAGGTGTGGTTTCTAAGCAAGGGTATGCGATCAAATTCCTATAGCATATCTGCTCCTAAAACCTTCTCCATGAACATGTTGGTGGCTGAAGCTAGTCGAAGAAGAGGAGGTTGATCACATAGGATGTGAAGGGGACAGAGGTTGGGGAGGAGAGAAGAAAACTGAAATCCGAGCAAAGCCAAGCATATCACCTAAGGCAAATGTGTACTAAGACAAGTAGCATCTTGCACCCATGAGCTTTCTGCCACCGCTGCATGATTTGGTGGGTGGGGGCAAGGCAAGCCCCACAACCCGCAGCTGAAATACAGCCTCCCAGAGCTTCCCCAGCACACAAACTCTGTCTCCAGTATCTATGCAGCACAGGACATATCTTATGTGCTCAATAAGTATTTGTGAACCAGCTGAATGAGACTACCTATTAAAACCCATGGAATGGGCCCATTCACTGCCTTTCACTGTGGAGAGCAGAGCACAAAGTCTGAAGAATGAGAGAAGTAAATTGCACGAAGGTCAAAGGTGGGGACATCAGGCAATGCTGAGAAGTGCACAGCCAAGGACAGAGGCCAGCAGGCCAGGTCCCAGCAGGGAAGAGGACAGAGTCCAGACTTCCACCCTCTGCCCTAGCCTCAGGACCCTCCTGTACGAGGCTTCTGTGGCCACAGGACAGATAAAACGTCAACCTCTGAGAACAGTGATTCCGGAATCTCACGGGAAATTACCGAATGGCTACAGGAAAAATAGTGCCATTTGCTTCCCCTGCTTTGATTGGCCCTGGCTCAGCAGAGGAAGGAGATGGCCTAATGACAATAAATCAAAGCACTGATTTCTGTATCAAAGGGAACAGGCTGTAGTCATCAAAGAGCTCATCTTTCAGAGGAAAATGTACTCCTCCTTTGTAATACTTCTATCTATTCATGGAGTAAAAGAAAAAAAGCCACAATTTTCACTTTAGCAGAAATTCTCTAGGTGCCCTAAAATGGCAGTGGGTTTCTAAATTAACTCTCAGACTTCCCAGGAAAATGAAGTAAATTAGTGCTCCAGAAATGAAATTTGGTTTTCTCTGGGATCTTAAACATCAATAAACAGTAAATTAAACAGGGGCTACAAACTGCACTGGATTGGTTGTGGGCAGGTCTATCGATGGTAATGCTGTAGCTCAAAACCCAGGCTTTTCTCTTCTTAATAAAATCTCCTTGAAAAATAAAGATCTGCGTTGCCTCCCCTCTAGAGATTTTTAAACAGTGTCCTGCATGAAGAAAGATTCTACACTCTTTTTGAAATGGAGAGTAAAAGTTTGAGGAAATTTTCCTGGCCTGTCCCTGGCTGGCTAATGTGAGAACTCCTGCTGAAATTGCCCAGGAGTTAAGACACAAGGGCCAGATGGTCACAACTCAGTATTATGTCATCTCTTCCCATTCATTTAGTCTCTTTTCCCTAAAGCTGGTGACCAGGAGGTGGAGACTGATCAGAGGGGCGTGATGGAGGGAACAGGGTGCGTGCTGAGCCCTGAAGATACCCCCTCACCCCCTCATTCCATCCCCTCAGGGCCCACCTCCCCCATCCCAGCTTCCTATTTCTATGTTTCCTTGTCTCTTCTCATTCATTCTTTTACTTTCTCTGACGCTGTCATTCCCTCTCCCTCTCTGACTCTCCTTGTCTCTATTTCTCCGCCTGTCTCTCTCCTCCATCTCTCACTCTTTCTGTCTCTACATTTTTCTATCTCTGTCTGTGTCTCTATCTCTCCATCTCTCTGTCTCTGTCTCTCTCTGTCTTCTCTTTCTCTCTCTCTCACTCTCTCTCTCTGTTCCTTTCTCCCTTTCTTTTCCTCTGTCTCTTTCCCCTGCTCCCAATCTCTCCCTCTTCCTTCTCCCTGGCCAAGCCCATCTCACCTTCACCCCACTCAAAGTCCCTGAAGGAGAAGTGTGTCCAAGGCTCACTACTTACTGTCTCTCTGCCTCTGCCCCCTACGTGCCCAATGTACCCTCATTCACTGCCCACAATAGCATCATCCTCCTCAGGTCCTGCCCTCATCACCCACCCAATCTCCTGCATCAAAACTGCAGGGATTCTTCTCCCTGATGCTGTCTGCTCTGCGTCTGAGCTCTGACCTTCAAAGGATCTTTAGTGCAATAGATTTGCATGGTATTTGTCACAGTGAGATGCACATGATGGCCTCTGATAAACACTGCCTGTTGGTAATGATGATGAAGACAGGGCAATGGTGACTATGACAATGACAGAAATAATGCCACCAGCTTTGAACAGTCCAGTCTAGGTCAAACAAAAACAATTGGCATCTAAACACATCCTTTGGCATGAAGGTCCTTGCACATCCACCACAGCCAAACCCTGAGCATAAGGATGTTGGAGCTAAGCAGGAGCTACTTCAGAACAGAGGCACATTTGCCATTTTTGAGCGGGAGCATGTGTTATGCTAATGATTCAAGACCATAAGCATCTGTAACATGCATTGTTTATACAAAGGCTTCACAAAGATACCATATGATAATGTGTGTGTTCATCTTCTTCCTACCCTGTACAAAAATAAAAATTCAACCTAAGATTTAAATAACATTTATAACGAAGGATCTTTGTTCACAAATACAAGTGGAACATTAGTCTAACACAACTAATTGATGACGCTCCAGGCTCTTTGAGGACACAAAGACATGGGAGTCATGGTGCATAAAATGGGGAAGACACACTTGGCTATGTAAATTGATACACTTTACCCAGGGATATACTGTAGCCAGTGCAACAGCAAGCATGCAGAAAACAACCAGCCTTAGAAAGCTGACTGTTAAATTGTCAGGCAATTTTAAAAGTCAATTATTAACATAATCATCAGTAAAAATTAACTACATATACTTTAAACTAAATAAATTATATTAAAGCAAAGGTAATAAATACTTAACAGCCACCACTTCCAGATTATCTTACTAACATCTACAGTCTTGAAATTACTTATTTCACGGGTGTTTATGGGGGATACTGTGAAGTGGGGCACTACTGCCAGAGTGCCTTTACCCCCCAAGTCTGTCCTCAGCAACCGCACACGGGCGGCTGGAAACTGACCACAATAACGGTACTCATGCCATGGAAGCCCACAACAGCTACAGCTGCAAGCTTTGCTGTCTGCAGTCTACATCTGTGTATCAGGAGAAACATATGCGAGCAAACTCAAGTCTAGAAATAGCATATCTGAGATTGACTGTGTGGTCTGCAGGCCTTCATTCCTCCTTTAAATCTATCCTCCACCAAACTAAGCTTCTTGTGAACAAAGCCCATGTCTTATTCTGTATAACAAGCACAGTTTGTGCCTGCATATAACAGGCACCATGAGTGTTGATTTGGTTTGGTTTGGTTTTTGGTACAGAGATTGAACTCAAGGCCTCTGCACTGAGCTACTTCCCTAGCCCCTTTTTTATGTTTTATTTTGAAATAAGGTCTCACTAAGTTGCTAATTTGCACAGGTTGAGCTCAAACTTCCGATCCTCCTGCTTTAGCCTCCCAGAGGGCTAGAATTTCATGAGTGTTTATGGGATAAACTGACAGGTGGAGGAGGAAGACAATGACAGAAGGAAACTGTAAGAGACTGAGTCATCACTTACAGAATATGGCTGTAAATCCCCTCCTAGCGATGCCTGTGCTGCTTCCCAAGCTAAAATGGTTAACACAGAATAGAAACACGGCCTGGGATAGTGTGTACTAACCCCGGCATTGCCCTTGTCACTTACTGAGCCAACTCATCTGTCAGTCGATGAACACCACCAAGACCTGCACTAAGGAGATTCACATTTTGGGGAGGCCCTAGGAGAAGGGATGGGATTGGTTCTAGCTCTCAAGTCATTTTATTCTTTAAGGCACGTCCCTAAGACTTCTTGACATACACACC